ACCAAAACCTTTATAAATAACTTAAGATTTTTATACTTTTTAAAAGAAAGAAGTAGAACCAAAACCTTTATAAATAACTTAACATTTTTGTACTTATCATGTCTGATGAGTTAACTACATTTTTTTAGGTTAAAGAAGAAAAGAAGAAAATCAACATCTTCCTCTTCAAGTGGTTCTTCTGATGATGAATCACTTTCTTCGTCATCATCCTCTTCCTCTTCTGGCCACAAAAGGCATAAGAAACGTAAGAGGAACCGCTCAGAGTCTTCTCGCAGTTACAAAAGGCATTCATCTAGGGCATCCTCAAGTCAGATGGATCAGAATAGGAAAGATGAGTCCTACCCAGTTCCAACTAACACATCAGCATCTTTTCTTAACCATAAACAAGAAGTGGAAAAACTACTAGAAAAGCAGGATAGGTTACCGTATCCAAAGACACAGATGAAAGAGAAAGATAGATGCCCTCTCTCTTCATCTTCATTTGAAATCCCGGATGATCTTGGAGGTAGGTCTGAAGATCCGAGAGATTTTTATGATAGCTCTAAAACCCAGGCGTGCAGTAGCAAAACAGAAAAGCCATATAAATCAGATAGACATTTTTCCAGTAGAAGAAATTCCTCAGATTCCTTCTGTAGGAATTCAGAGGATAAGGTGAAAACTTACGGTTATAGGAGATTTGAAAAGGATATCGAGGGAAGGAGAGAGCACTCTAGAAAGTGGGAGCCGGGGTCCCTGAGGTCTTCCACCTCACCAGCCAACTCAGACAACACGTGGAAGTCAGTTGAAAAATACAAAAAATACACTTACTCTGGATCACGTGATTTCAACAGACATGAACAAAGGTATCGATTCAATACAAATCAAGTAGACTATGAAAAAGAGGACAATTATGGGGAGGACATCAAAACAGAGGTTTCAGAAGACGGACTAAACAGCAAAGAGCATTCAGAAAGCAAGGTTAAAAAAAATTTACCTCAGAATTTACTCAACATATTTAATCAGATAGCTGAATTCGAGAAAGAAAAAGGAAGTAAGCCAAAAAATTAATATGCCAAGGAAATCACCTTTATACTAAATGCTGTTAATTAGAATTTGGGGGTGTTTGTTCATAACAGTTCAGTGTAAAAATCACTGCTCCTAAAATTATTTGTATAGATTACAGAGAGTGAATGTTTTTTAGCTTTTCTCAAATTTTATTCATTTCAGTTGTAGGTGCCTTTGTCACAGCTTTATTTTTAGGCTTTTTATTTGTATGTTGATGTACAGTATATTTTTTACCCTGAAGATAATTTTCTGAAAGTATTGTTTTTTCATCATATTGTGATGTATGAGAATTCCTGGGTTCACCATGTTCTGCTGTTTGAGAGAGAATTAAATTTGTGCATGGAACACTTAGATCATTTTCATCAAAAATGATTTCATTCTTTTTTCTGTTAAAAGCCCTCAGCTTCTGAAAGAGATTTTATGTTTAAACGTTTGATTATATATCATTTGTTTAAATATTAAATTTTTTTGCAGTTTTATTTGAGATGCTGGTAATGTGTCTTAATTTGTTTCTAACGTCTGATTTAATTAAAAACGATTTATGAATTGTTACTTTAACAAGTCCTTAGAAATAAGATCATGAAAGTTGAATAGGAGCCCATTTTGCTTATTTCTTCATTATTGTTTCATCTTATTGCCAGCATTGTACCCCTAAGAAATGTAACTTTAAATATTGGTAAAGCCCTTAAAAACTGTATACATTCCAGGCAAAAATAGATCAGGAAAAAAAAAAGGAATCCTTTCAGCCAAAAGCACAGGCAGAGAAGTACACCGAATCTCCTTTTTTCTCTAGGGCAAGAAAATTAAGAAGCTGTCCTCGTATTACAAACGTGCACGAGGTGTGCTTCTCAATAGTGTAGGTCTGGCCTGCGGGTCTGCTTTTCTTCTTGCCATCTCCTCTCCCTTGGTGCTTCCCTGATGCCGCCTTTTTCGGGGTCTGAATAAATAACTAGATCCAGCAGAGCCTGGTTTTTACTTGGTGTGAATCCCAGTATTTGTAGCAAACAAAGGAAGGGACTTGGGTGATAAAGATTCTCCCAAAATTATTAAAAACAATATACCATACTCTTCGGGGGATAGAGCTAGGAGTCAGAGGTGATGCTAGGAATCTTAATCTTTCCAGTTTAAGAGTCTAGAATCAGTAAATGATTTGAATACTCATGATGATGCATGGGTACAGGTAGGTGGGTAGATGGATATCCATCTATAAAAGATTTAAATGAAAGAATGATTGAGGAAGAAGAGTCTTGCCGACAGTAAAATACCCACACTTTAAGTACTGAGTGTGTACTGTTTGTCCTGCAAACTCCAGAGATGGGGGCCTAGTGGAAAATCTGAAATTTGTTTTGCAATTGAACAGGGAAAAGAAAGTCTGGTAGAGAGCAATAGATGCTGCCAGTAGAAATAGGCTGTTACTCAGGGGGTGGTGTTTATACCACGTTCACCTTAAAACAGTCCTCAAGTCTATGTATTAATAGCATTAGTATCTTTATATAGTCCTGCACAGTGGTGTTTGTAATTTTTATATATTTATATATATATATATATTCTTTTTTTTTTTTTTTTTTGAGACAGAGTCATTATGTCCTCCTCGGGAGAGTGCTGTGACATCACAGCTCACAGCAACCTCCAACTCCTGGGCTTAAGTGATTCTCTTGCCTCAGCCTCCCAAGTAGTTGGGACGACAGGCGCCGGCCATAGCACCCAGCCATTTTTGGTTGTAGTTGTCATTGTTTGGCAGTCCAGGGCTGGGTTTGAGCCCGCCAGCTCTGGTGTATGTGGCTGGTGCCCTAGCCGCTGAGCTACAGGCACAGAACCCATAGTGGTGTTTTTAGAGAATATAAACTACCTCTTGACTTTTTATAATCCCTAGTATAGCTTCTAATTTCACACACACCATTGTATGTCAAAGTGAGGATAGTACCTTACGCTGCAGGCTGCCTGCATTGAGGAATTCCATCTTTCCTAGGCCTTCTGGGAAATATTATTTAAGCAGAGTACACAAACCACTTTAAGGATATATTCAGCAAGCCCATCACAAGAAAAAAGTATTGGGATTTATATTGTCAAGAATTCCTAGTGACTAACGTCAGCGATTTCTCTCAACATCAGTATATGTAGTTTGTACATATGTAGGCTGGCTGTAGAGAGGTTGATCTCCTGCCTCATTAGTTAGCATTATTAAACTGAAAATAGAGCTGTTCTCTTAGGGTTAAGTACAGACTTGCACACTGGCCTCTAAGAACCTAATTATTCCACAAATACTTGGTAACTTTTGGATGTTGATTCAATAATAGGTAAAAGTTACTATATTGCAATTGCTACATCAAGCCCTGTGCGTTTTGCATCTATTATCCAATAATTTCAATAGACTTGTCTGTAGGTAACTTACTCTGTATTACAAATGAGGGGAAAAGGCATAGAGAAGTAACTGCCCAAAGTCACAGAGCTAACTTAAGACA